TGTCTGTTTGTTTGTTTTCTCCCAAGAGCCTGCAACAGATCAACAGTGAGAAGTAAAAAATCAGTGTAGTCTGAAGTGACACAACTGCTTGCATCTTAAGAGTGACATTAATTGTATTTTAGGATTCTTTTCTAGTGTCCCTGGAACATCCAAACATACTTTCCAGTCACACTTGGAAGCACCTAGTCATTGCACCTTCTAACCAGGATGGTGCATACACTGGGCTCTATATCATGAGAGTGACAGAAGAGACCACTGACCAGACCCAGCTTCAATGCCAGATTTTACATATAAAAACGTTTCTAAAAATAAACAGATTCTTTAAATGTGATCACCACACAAACTCAGAGCTCATTCTGAATGTTGTTGGGAATTCAAAAGTAAATGATCACCTATCCCAGCAGGAAACTGAACACCAGGATTGTCAGGGCATGCTTTCCCCACAGCTCAATGGGGCTGAACCATCTGCCTAATGGGCACCCCAGCAAGGCCAGAGTTCTCACAGCAGCTCAAAATGGAGATATTTACAGAGCTGGCACCACCAAGTGTTCTGGTTTGTTTTGGTGGGTTTTTTGGTACCAGGGGAGGGGCTCCAAGAGTGGCTCTGGTGGGAAGCTGAGAAGCTCCCCCTGCTTCCAAAACCAGCCAAGGAACCATTAGAGGGACAATAGATGCACCTCAGCAATGAACATCTATAACACCTAAGCAGAGAAACACTTAGGGGGGAAGAGCTGAGCTGGAGGAGGAGGGCTGGGCTGGGGAAGGAGAGGGTGCTGGTGGTTGGTGAGGAAGAAGGTGAAGAAGGTGCCCAAGCAGAAGTTTCCCTGCAGCCCATGGTGAGATGGCAGCTGTGCTCCTGCACTCATGGAGGAACGTGTTGGAACATTCCCTGAGGGCACCAGAAGGGATGAACTTGGCCAGTGGACTTGGATTTTGTGGCCAGTGGATTTGCTGCCAGTGGAGTCTGATTATGCAGCTGTGGAAGCCCCCGGGCCAGGGGAGGTGCCTGTTCCCAAAGCCCCCGTGACTCTGCGGGCAGCGCTGGAGCAGCTCTGGGCCTGGTGGGAATGGCTCATGGAGGAGAGGTTGGTGGAGGACCCTCTTCCATGAGAGAGACCCCATGGGGAAGTAGGGCAGGAATCCTTCTTCCTGAGGAGGAAGGAGCAGCAGGAACCACCAGCCTGTGAACTGACACTAAACCCCATCCCCCTGTGCTGCTGGGGAAGGAGAGAAACCTGGAACAAAGTGATTTGGGCCAGGGAAGAAGGCAGTGGGGGGGTAACATATGCAAGCACTGCTCTTTGTGTTGTCTGTGTCCTGTGGGTGTTTGATTAGTGTGAAATTATTATTTTTTCCCCAAGTTGAGTCTGTTTTGCCTGGGACCTTAATTGGTGAAGAACCCTCCCTGTCCCTTGTCTCAACACATGAGCTTTGTCCTCCTCATCCCAGAGTGTGTGTGTGGGGAGTTGAGTGAGTGGCCATGGGGCTGTTCCTTTGTTGTCATGTTGGGCTCAAACCCACGACATTTAATGGCAAGCCAGGCAGGAGAGAGACAAGGAACCACGACAACAAGTGAGGTTTCCATCCTCCATCATGCCAGACCCACAGAAAATAAAGCCATGAAGCCCCAGCTATTTATAGAACTAAAGGTTCACAATACAGAGAACCCCTGGAATTGCAAAATCAGATTATTTTTGAAGCAGGAAGAAGACACTGCAAGTCAAAGCCACAGTGACCTCCTGCACAGGACAGACCACATCACTTGCACCCACTGCTCTGAGGTTACACAGAAGACATCTGATAAACCAGCACATCTCACTGGGTTATTTTTTTCTAGTTTGATCACTGGAACAGGCTCCCCACAGAGGCTGTGGAGTCTCCTTCTCTGGAGACTTTCAAGACCCATCTGGATGCCTTTCTTAGTGATCTGCCCTAGTTTTTTGGTCCTCCTCTGGCCGGGGTTTGGACTTTGAGATCTTCAGAGGTCCCTTCCAACCCCTGACATTCTGTGATTCTGTGATCAGACTGGTTTTGTCTTCCACCAGCAAATGTCCTTAAATCTTTGCCTACAAAATGCCCTCTGGTAGAAGAAACCTTGTCTTCTTGTACACATTTCTAGACACCACCCAAGGAAACCTAGCCATGAAACAAGATGATGTTTATCTGCAGAGACATCTTTTCCATGAAACCATGCTGACTGGCATTTTTCATTACCACCAAACATTCTCTCTTACCACAGCATCCCATTTAGCTTGTTGCTCACCAGACTTGCCAGGACTTTTTCTTTTCTCCAAACTACAGCTTTTAGGCATACAACTGCCCCTGCAATAACTGGACCTGTTTGGCTTTTTTTCTCAGATGTGCAAACCACAGATTTGGTCACCTTAAAATGCATATTTGCCTCTGCCAGATGAACAAGTCATCTAAATTCCTCTGGATAAACAAGATACCTTCTGTCTCTGGCATAATTAATGGATACTTTATCAAAGGGACTTTACATTTGGTGCTAATAAATAATGTGATGGGAAGATTGTGGAATAATATTGATCTATTAGTACATTCCTTTTGGGCCCCTGTTTGATGCCTCTTCAAATGAGGATGAGATTACTGTCAAATATAATCTATTTAATATGGCCTCTAGTTGTTCTTAGTAGTAATCTCTTTGATTAAATAAGAGGTATCGACTGAAAAAAAAGCATATTACAGTAGTTTAAAAATACATCAGTGACCTTTCTCAAATAGACCTCCAAGCTCAACCCAGACATGAAGTTTTGCTTGCAGCCCTATTTCCACACAACTAGATGGGCTGGTATTAACTGTATTTTAACATTTCTCTCACAACTGACTTTTCAACCAAAAAGTAAAAAATAAATAAATAAAAGAACTATTATGTCAGAGATCAAACACAGGCCCTTGGTTTATACTTAATCAGGACATTTTCCCTGCCCTGTTTGTTGTTTTTTTTTAATACTTCAGCTTTGCTTTAATTGAAATAATTCTCACTGTTCTCTACAGTTGCTTTTATAAAGCAGTCATTGTATTCAACAACGACATTATTTCAAGAAAAAAAACCCCAACAACTTACAGCATTTTCACAATTGGTGCCAGAAAGGAAACGTGAATCATCTGAATATTTAACCAAGTAACACCACACTTGCAAGTCACATCATATTTAACTGAAACAATCTGTAAGGAATGTGATGATGATTTTGATTTGTAATGGTTGGTACCAGAGAGGTCAAGGAACCAGAGCTCTGCTGCTTCCTAGTAACTGAGGCATCAACCAACCCTACTTCTTTAAATACATGTAAAGAAATATAAAATATGAAAGGATGGCCCTGAAAAAGGGAGGCCATATAGAGGTCATCAAAACATTGTGCAGCTGAGGGTCTCAGTGTATTTGTTTTGCTCAGCAAAGAGCAGCAAAATTCAAGCCAGCACAAACTCCTCAGGGGGTGACAGGAACCCTGAGTGATGAGGTACCACTGCCACCTTCCAGAACAATTCTCTGCCTCCCAGGATCAAGGATTTAGCCAGAGAAAAATTTGGCCCAGAACAAAGCAGGGGACCTTGGTCCATGAGAAGGAAATATTCAGGGCCAAAAGCATTAATAGAGCTCAGGAGCAAGAAGAGCTGGGCTCCATGTTCCTCATCCACCAATGCCAGTTGCCTGCCATAGCCTGAAATTTTTTTTGGTGACACCTCCCAAGCTGCCAAATCCAGCTGCTGAATACACTCAGCACAGGAACAGATATGAAATAGTGTGTACCTTGCTAGCCAGGATGGTCAGAAATCCTCTAAATTGCTAGAAGTCAGGACTCTCTTCTGCTGCTTCTTATCATAGTATCATGGAATGGTTTGGGTTGGAAGGGACCTTAAAGATCATCTATTTCCAACCCCCCTGCATGGGCAGGGACACCTCCCACCAGCCCAGGTTGCTCCATGACCCATCCAACCTGCCCTTCAACACTGCCAGGCATGGGGCAGCCACAGCTTCCCTGGAAGTTCCAGCATCTCACCACCCTCACAGGAAATAACTTTTTCCTAATGTCCAACCTGAATCTCCAGTCTTTAAGCTTCAAACCATTTCCCCTTGTCCTCTCACTACACACCCATGTCAAAAGCCCTACCCCAGCTTTCTTGTAGCCCCTTCAGATATTGGAAAGTTGCTCTAAGGTCACCATGGAGCCTCCTCTTCTCTAGGCTGAACAACCCCAACTCTCTCAGCCTGTCTTCACCAGGGAGGTGCTTCAGCCCTCTGAGCATTTTTGTGGCCTCCTCTGAACGTGCTCAAGGAGTTTTATGTCCTTCTTATGCTGGGGACTCCAGAATTATTGTTTCACTTTAAGCTAAAATCCCTCCAGTGTCATCCATGTTGGTCTGTCCTTTGATCCTTATCCTTAACTCCCAAATGGCTCACCACCCACCCCAAGGCCAAGCTCCAGGCACTCCTCTGCCTGAACCTCAAGCCCTTCACCTCTCCTGCCCAGCCTGTCTTTCTGGTTGTATCTCACCATGTCCAACAGGGTCACAGCTCTGTGACTCTGCACAACCTTCTCCCTCCTCTTTGCCCCCTGCTACAGGTGTCCGTGCAGAGGCAGCTGAGATGGGCAGTTTGCACAAGAGTTTTCCCAACCCTGTTGTGCACCAGAAGCTTCCTCCCACACCTTCATGTCTCTTCAGATGCTGGCAACACTTCCCAGGGGTAGCTGAGAGTCAATATCCCAGACAACAGTTTGAGAACTGCACTGAGGATTATGGTGATGAATGGAGCCATCACACACATCACAGAGCCAGGCTTGTGTGGGGTGTGCTCAAGCACAGAGGGGAAGTCCCCCTGGGACAATAACAACTGCTATTTAAACCAGCACTGTGCAACAGCGTCTTGAGTCCATCAGGTGAGCTCATCTGTGCAACTGCTGATCTGATGTGCAATAGCTGTGGTTTCTGT